ATAGAGAGTCCAATGCAACAATTACTATAGTACAGGTAATCAGTTCTATTGCAACAAATTATGTGTCATAACATACTTCAGACAATGAAAGAAAGCATTACATGTAATATAAATTATATATTGTAAATATTAAAAATTAATAAATAAAAATTATCTGTATTAAAAAGATTATGATTAGAAACAAATATTTTTTAACAGCATCTTGTTAATTGTTCAGGATATATTAAATAAAATTATTAGATATCTACATTAATTTGAATTCACTCTTGTATGGTACTAAATATGTATCTTTCGATTAGTAATTTCCTTAAAACAAAAATAAAACAGTGGTTATTTTACATTTCCACAAAAAAATAACGAGGTTCATAAACCACCATGTAGTCTGCAATGAATTTTCAACAAGAAGCTGCTTAATATACATACATTGTTTCACTACACTCAAAACCCCTTACAAAGGCTATTATATATTCTAATGGTTATGTGCAACATTCCTTTTAAATGTTCCTTATTACCCCACACCCACCCCAGTAGGTGCAATGAGAAAAAATGTCATCCACAAAAAAACAAAAACACTATAATCGTATTAAATGCCACTCCTAGTTTTGAGTCATTCAGTTGTTTTAATAATTCATTTACGTAGGTTGTAACAATGTAGAGACCCTCATTCTGAATAAAATCATCTATTTAGGGTGTTATTCAATTGTTGCCATGGAGATAATTGTGTACATAAGCAATGTATTTTTTGATCTTGATACGTGTTTACTAATTATTGACAAGCCATTAGCATGTCCTATTCGCAAAATAGTAAATAAACAAAACTGAAATAGAAATAATATTTATTGTGACCACACAACTTTTGCAATTTACTATCGCCATTCTTATTCAGGGCTGAAAAATGAAGAGCAAATATCACTACTAGACCAGTGATATTTGAGATATGAGTTAACCATATTATTTAATTAGTAATTAAAAAAGTGAAACCAAATTTAAATACTAAATCCATCGTACTGTAGAGACACTACGTTCCATATAGGCGAATGATCATAGTAGTGAAAACACTAATATCTATTTTGATTTATACAAATTTTTATCTATAAAATGTTTGTAACAACCCTAGCTTTCTGTACACCACTGTACAAAAGTGGATGCATTTGCTGTATTGGTATGTTGTTTTTCATGACACTAAACATGAATCACTGGATTTTATTTTCACTGAATCATACCTTCAGAGTAAAAAAATTCCAAGTGAAAATAAAGTATTTTACAGTAGACAGACAATAATGACATCAAATAGACAGTCACATAATTGGTTTACTGTGAACAAAATAAACCCATTCCTTTCATTTTTATAAATATTTCACAATTCAAACTGAAACGAGAGGTTTCTATTGGCCGATTGAATAACATTGGAAGGTTTTTAAATGAAGTCGCTGTGCACTATACTTGTTGACTATCAGGTTTTAACCAACTGCTTTTGAAATTTATATATATTCATAAAGATGGAATGCATTTGATATGTCAGGTGTAATATGGACAAGCCCATTGTTTCCTTTTCTTAATATTTCAAACTTTCACAATTCAAACTGAAATTTGTGGTTTCTACTCTTGGCACAACAAAGACATTCCTATAATCTTTATAAATAATTATAATTTATAAAAAATAAATTGTTGTGCTGATAGTATATATCGGGAAATGGAATAACATTGGAACTTTTACGAATGATGTCAATGTGAACTACACTCACTGATTGGGTGATTGGATTCAACTGCTATTGAAATTTATGAAAATTAATAAAAATAAAGAGAATGGGTTTGCTCTGTAGATGGTACAGTGAATGCTATGAAGCCATGAATGTGTTTTTTATGGAAATTTATAACATATTTATAAAACATTTATTCTAAAATCTCCAGAACGCTAAATGAATGATCTCAAGACTCAATGGTTGATTATGAAATAATGGTGAAATGTTCTGAATACTTGCAAAAAAGACACAGGTATGCTAACATATAGACATATCATATCATATGCAACCCAATTTTCATATTATCTACATGAAATGTTGGTCCACATTTAAACTACATATGCTTACTGACTTTCAATTTTAGCAGAGGAACACGTGACAGAAAGAAGGCAAGCGAGGTTGAGAAAGGGGTTACTGTGTATCTAATACCGGGTAAACAAGACTATCTTTGACCTGGTTCGGTATTAATATACCAAATAAATAATGCACACTTGCCCCTTATAGTTTAGTGGGTCGGGACTACCCTTTCATAACCATTCCAGGTAGCTCACCCCCACGGAATCCTGGAAATTCTCTCGACACTTCGTCTCGTGAGTTACTTTAACTGTTACATCTAGTTCGTTGACTGAACCCCCTGTTATGGTGGTTTCGTTCAATGTTTTCACTCCTACGTTGACGAATCAACGTTTAATGTTTGTTCATCTGACACGCAACCAAGTTGTACATGAATACATTAAAACCCACAACATTTAATTCTAATTGTGACGGAAATGTGTAAAATACTCAATTAAAAATGCAATGTGCAATATATTTTAAGATTGTAATCCGATTATTATTGTAAATACCTAAATATTTAGTGGGAGGGAGCTCAATAATCACAATACCAAATCCTAGCCCCTTTTCGGCAATCGTACTTTCACGTTTCTAGTGTACTATAGACATATTTAATCCAATATAAAAAAAGACTGGTCTGTTACTAGCATAACTATATTAGCGTAGAAGAATAACCACAGCATTTACGATATGTTTTTAATTATCGACTTATTTATGCGTGTCGCAAAAGGGTAAGCAGCTGATGACGTCATTACTTTTACTGGTCACTGCGCATTAACATTGTAAAAAGTAGTCCACGGGAACGTATTAACGTTTTATGGCCACGGTACGCCCAGTTTGTTTGTATTTGTTTCATTGTTGGATAATTTATTTTCATCGGATTAAGATCTATACGTTACAGATTCAACGTAGGTTCGAAGACTGTATTTTAAAGAGCTGTCATTGCCAAATCACCGCACAGGAATATATGACTTTTCGGTAGTAATTTGGTAACATCATCGTTTTCGGCGAAAGATAGTTATAAATATATGGATCTTAAAAAAATCGCCGGAAATAACATCATTCAGTTCAGTTTGGGAACAAATACTTCGTTAAAGGATTAATTTATCAATGGATGGGGAAAAGGTTCCGAAGTTTTCAACGCCGAATGAAGAAATTGCATTCTGGAGAAGCAAGGCGAGAGAATATCGAACAAGGTAACGACATTTAATTTTTCACACAGTGTATATGTCGCTACGAATATTTCCGTGATGAAAGTAATATTGGTAGTCATGTTAATTCGCTGATATCCCCAAAGTAATCGTGATCAAATTGTGTTAATATGACAGTATGGTAGTGACCGACTCGATTGAAAATAAACGAAGCCTGACCTGTGTACTAAACGAGGTTACATGTAATTATTGTAATGTAAATGACATTGGCGATAGGTTACACCTCCCAGCCGGCAATGGCGGCTATTGTTTATTATTTGCTCGGTGTTGAATAATTATGTCACACGTATTTTGGTAAAATTGTTTCTGACGTAATGTCTACAATTGTCTGTGTCGTCTTGATGTTTACGAGTACAACGGATTGGGATTAAAAAAAATATTTTTAAACTAAATTTTTCTCGTACGTTATTTTTGTACCCAATATTCCTTTAACCATGTCAAAGCTGTTGACAACGTTTGTGCATAAATGTACTACTCTGTGGAAAGTCCAGCACATCACAGACTCTCACTTTAAACATGCCAAAGCAACAGGAAAAAAGTAGTTACAAATTTGACCTGTGATTCAGACATTCTCTAAAAGTTACTAAGCATGCTACCATAATGTATACATCATTTGAAAGCCTAAATATAGGCTAATACGGTAGAGCATATGTCATCTCAATGTTGACTGAAAATTTTATCTGTTCACACTTAATGTAGTTACTTTTGTGACCGAATTCAGATGCGTTTTTATGTTGTTTAGGAAGGTCCTATTATTGTTCAAAATCTGTAAATGAGTAAAACTAAATCAATTGGACCCACTGTTTAGGTGAAGGTCATAAAAGTCAAAATCAACAACAAAAACATTCTAAACCGAAGTCATAAGATTCAGTCATTGAATCTTCAGCAGATTATACCATAGAACTTAGGTCTATGATTGTACCTAGAACATGTATATATTGACACTGCACACTTTACCAAATAGTGCAACTAAAAAACCTGTACTTTTACAACAGCCTTGAAGAAGCCAGAGAGGAGCTTGAGGAATTTCAAATTGGTAGTCGAGAATTAGAATCAGAATTAGATGCTCAGTTACAGCAAGCAGAACATAAAACAAATGAACTTCAAGCTGTTAATCAAAGGTTACAAATGGAATGTGAATCATTAAAGGTAAGTAACTACTTACTTGTAACAATATAGCACAGTTATTATATCTGCATCATTAAAAGAACAGTCAAGTTACAAATATTCAGGGAAAACGTGGAACCTGTGATTTTCTGTCTCTGGCCTTGAGCTTTTTCAAGTTAGTTGGTTGTGATGTTCTTGCATCCAGTGAAATAAAAGAAACAATTAACACTACCACCATATGCAAATTATCAGTTCCATGACAATGTGCACCAGAGATCTTAAAACAATTTCTTCCTGCTGGTGTTAATGTTTTGTTCACAAGTACTATCGTAAAATCTGTATTAGAAGCCGCATCCCTAATAGAAGTCACACCCATTCTTTTTGAATAATTTAGAACCAAAAATTCATCATTTCTCATATGTGTAGATGCTCTAGTAGAACCGCATTCCATCTGTTGTATTGTACCATTTCAATAGAAGCCGCGGCTTCTAATACAGATTTTACAGTAGTACTTATTACCTTTTTCCTGTGAACTCTGGATTTATGTTTTGTTTTCGATTGGTCGTCCTAAAAAAGTATTTTGGTTCCATATTTAATCTGATCATCTATGCTCTATGATCTGAGAAAGTACTTTAAATATTCCAAGTTTCATCCCTACATTTTTGTACTTGCAGTTTGTTTTAATGACAAAAAAATAACACCATTAAATTTTTACTGACACTGTATTTCAGTAGTTGCTAGTATTTTCATTGTACTTCACATTTAGTCTACTGTAATATACTTTATTTTAGTTTGATATTAATTTTTGCTGAAATGATTTTTTGGATATATTGTATAGAATTTTTGTTCACCGAGTTTGATGTAAAATATAGGAAAAAAGGTGTATTCGCTGGATTTTATTTTTACTCAATCATTATTTCAGCGAATTATTTCCAAGCAAAAATTAAGTATTTCATAGTACCCGGTATATATCATGTTTGTATGTTAATTTTTTAGGTATAGGTGATTTTCCCCCTTTATTTTCAAAATACTTATTCTTAATAACTATCAACTGTATTGCTTTTTTATTTAACCTCTCAGATTTGAATATTTTTGTAACTTTTGGTCAAAAATGTTATTTTCCACTTCTTGAAAACTTCTACTTTGATTGATTTTATACTTAATAAATATGTACTTTGAGTGTCGTTACCTTGTTCGAGATTTAAACATTTCATAACAATATCTTGAATTTTAGCAAATATTTTTGTCATTTTTGGTGAATTGAAAAACCTAAATATTCCTATTGCTTTGATACTTGGTATATGTGTTCCTTGGATGGACCTCTATTAGATCATTTTGTGATATAAGGGGAACTCTCTACTAATTCACAGACATTTTCCATAACTGGAGTTGATGAATCAAAACTTGGGTTTTATTAAACTTATCCTTATCAGTGCCAAAAATCTAAACTCAGAAGTTGCAACATTTAAATCAAAAGTGTAAACAAATTTTTTTCCCCACTATGTTTATGTAACTACATGTATATACTTTTTATTGCTAGACTACTCTACTGAAGCAGCAGAGCTATTTCGACCATCAGGTCGCTTGTTTGAAACATGCAAATAAACTGTGTTTTTGGTAACCTGTACTTCTATACTGTTGCACACGCATTATGAAAATTTTATTTATTTTCATTAGTAAACTGCTTCCATACAACAAAATGGAATAACATACACAGCATTATAAAAACTATAATAAACCTATAAACACACTATTTTTATTTGGCCATATAAATGCTTTGATTGTTGAATTCATTTTTTTTCTAGTCAGGGCTTGGCTGAAATGTATGTTGCCTATAGATTTACATAGTCAGTTGTTAAAACGATATTTTCACTAGTCCCAGACTATCGGAATATCTTTAGTATTTAGCCCTGCTATTAGATTGTGTATAGATTTTAAGCTGACAAGGTTTTAAAATCATGACGCATGTTTCTACTGCACATCTTTGCCATCCAGTTTTCAATATTTTGTGCTTTCTGGATCTTCCCATGATGTGCTATAGTAATTAAAGGATAATTAACAAACAAGTTACTCCCATTAGCTTGTTTGTCAGTCACCTTCCAACACATTAAAAAAAGGCTTGTAATATAACTACAATCACTTGCGTGTATACCCGATGAGTGGAACGTTGTTCATGCATTTAGATGTTCTGAAATACCTGTAGTATGGAAGATTTAATGATGTCATTTTACTATTTATTACCTTATTACAGGAAAAGCTTGAATATTCCCAAAAAGATAACCATGCACAGATAACCAGGTTACAAGATAAATTAGCAGAGGCAACAGCTATCAAAGAAGAATATCATAAATACATCAGAGAATTAGAACAAGCAAACGATGACTTAGAAAGGGCAAAAAGGTAGGACTGCCATTGACGTCATTGTAGTGATGATGATCTATTGCGTACCAGCTTTAAATATAGGTTTTAGAACGATTGACAAACTAATCTGATTTGAGGTTGCATATGTTATATGAAAACTATTATGTTGTATGAGAATAATAAGTATGTATGTGTATGCCAGATATTTTCAAAATCTATTTACCAAAAGGTACTAGTATTTTCTAATCTTTGAAAGCAGACCTTGAGGGCATCATTGCTTAGCTCTTTGACATTTAAGCAAACAGTTATCAGAATTGACTTCAATATGTTCTGTTATGTAAACAGAATATAAATTGGTACTACTCAACACTATAGGCTATGTTTGACATAACATAAAAACATCACATCTCCTTTTTGTGATGGCTTTACAATTGCTGTGAGCAGCTCAGTACGGTAAACAATTAGCGAAATTCTGCTGCATGTTTACTTGGTGTTATTTACTTGCTCTACTTACATATGTTCGCAGCTACTGTGAGTTCACATTTATATATAACAGTACTATTTACTGTTATTAATGCTACACAGTTACTTTCATGAGTTTTATGGGCCTATGCCCTACACTGTTTAGCTGGATCATCATGGTGTTCATACATTGAGTGTCAGTTTGAGTCCTGCACGCACAGTACATGTTTATTTTGATTTAACATAATATTTACCTTGTGGTGTTATTTACGTAAGTTTCATCACAGCTTCTGGTCAGAAAGTTCATATCAGTATAAAATATACTGCATAAATTGATGGTGGCGTGATGTCAATGTGTACCTGCTACATGTGAGCATGGTATTTATTTTTCATTGCAATTGATTAGCTTAGACTATTGACTATTTATTCACCACTTTCAACTAGTAAACAAGTTAATATATAAATCGCTGGGTAATAGTTGAATTCTATTTCTCATACAGAGCAACAGTTGTTTCCCTAGAAGATTTTGAAGCAAGGTTAAATCAGGTGAGTTTGTATATATTGTGTATGCCATTATAAAAAGCATTCAAGAGTATGAATTGTCACATGACCACAGTGTATATCATTATCACTGCTGATATGCTAAATGTCACTGTTCATGTTAAATCAATTTATGTGTTTTTGAAAAAGACACAATAAAAACATGTCATGTTTGGTACTGTTTATTTCTAAATCAGCTCTATGAGTGAGAAGTGTCAGTTAGTAATTTATATTTCATTTTCTCTACATTATGTTTGATTATTTTCATAGGCAATTGAAAGAAATGCATTTTTAGAAAATGAGTTAGATGATAAAGAAACATTACAGATTACAATACAAAGGCTTAAAGATGAAGCAAGAGGTAATTTATCTATATACATTATATAAATATTTTCAACATGCGTTTCTATATTAATAATTACTGTCCTACATGGAACTTATTTGTCATATTTCAATGTAAATATTCCTACATTGGGTATTACGTTTCTTGTCACACAGTAATACATCAGTATGGCAAACAACCATGTGTTTTGCTCTAACTGCCATATATATATGACTGCTGGATACTGACTGTAAATTCTCACAGTCAGTGACCCAAAATGCAGGTCAGGATTCCTTATAGCATTTAGTCATCAGCTATTTGAAAGCTGAAACTGGTTGCTGTATAGAACAATTCCATTCATTCACAGCTTGGCCTTGTTTAGATACCTAAGTAAAATGCATGGATTCCAGATGAATGAATATCTAGTCAATTATGTGTATATGTTGATGGAAGTTGTATTAACAAAGAATTATTTTTTTGTTATTTTTTTTATTAAAAGATTTAAGACAAGAAATAGCAGTCCAAGAACAGAAAGATATTCACCATATGCCACCAGAGACTCCAGATAATGAAAGAACTGAAGCAGTACATGCAGCTGCTATTGCTGCACATCAAACATTACCAAACAACAGAAATATAGGAATGCCTACAAATGTAACCCCAATGGGAACACCACCGAGAGGTAACAACTTTGTGTTATGTTAAACTGAATGCCATAATTTAACCTGCTAATATTTTTTGATAACATTTTACATATTTTTATTTTTTCTTAAATTTCTTTACCAAATGGACATAATTTTCCATTGCCTAAATGTCAATTTAATGGACGAATAATTAATTATTTTCATTATATAATAATAATTATAATTTATAATAATTGTCACAAATTCTATAAAGTAGCAATTAAATTTTTTTAGTCCAAGGTTGTTTACCCTTGTCACTTTTCTATTATCCTTGAAACAAAATATAAAAGAAATTACTGAAATAATTTAATTATTGAAAATTTCCTGAAGAATATTTTTTTTTTTTTTGCAATTGCAGTGGGATCTCCTCTCGTGAATGGGGCACCAGGGAATACACCATTAACACCATCTGCAAGGATATCCGCTCTCAATATCGTAGGAGACTTACTAAGAAAAGTTGGAGTAAGTATTTATTAAGTCATCTAGATGTACTCATGCTCATGAAAATAATACTGTTATAAGCTGTGAGCTGTAAAATTGTAGACTTTTGGCATTGCCCTTACTGGTATTCAGTAAAGAAAGAACCTCCAAATTAAGGTAGTTAAATACCTTAACCTTACAAATTGTTTACTGATCAATTTCACTGTACTTATTCACAACTTTCACCGTTCTGATCGGAAATATTATCAACTTTTTAGATTAAAATGACATTATACATTATAGATTACATTACAGCCCTTCTCTATTGATTCAGAATCAGAGATATATCCTCAAAACTGAGAAAGAAAACATATGTTACTTTTGTTTTTCATATGTGTCACTCTAAAAATAAGTAAACGGTAACTTTTCAAATAAGTTCCCAGGAAATTAATTTGATTGATTAAGTGTTGATGAACAAAAAAAATGTTTTGCTCAGTTTTTGAGAAAATAAAAATGTGAAAACTAGCCCTCTACCACCTGAAAATGTGTTTTTCCTTCTTCTCAGACTATATGATGAGGCAAAAGCCAAAGCACTTTTCCTAAGTTAAATAAACACAAAGAAATTCTGAAATAAATCTATTTTCTCCACAGTTATCATACTCAAAACATATAATATTCTTAAAAATTCAGTATATTAATTATATTTGTGATAAATGTCAGTAAATATTTGTACTAATTATGTATTATTTTCTACAGGCGTTGGAATCCAAACTTGCTTCCTGCAGAAATTTTGTGAAAGAACAGCCTAGAAAACAGTCAAGTCCAACAGAATCACCTAGGTAGGGGAAACAATCATATCACTAACAGTCTGCGGTTTGTACACGAAAAGCAGTTAAATAATCTGATTTTTTAATATTTGTTTCATCTTTTTTATTTGTGCTTAAAAATATTATGTGTACTGTAAAATATATTATTTTAGTTGGAATTTTTGAGTGTATGGAATTTATTTTCAATGTGTAAAATATAGAAAAACAGGTATATTCGCTGGATTTTATTTTCATTAAATTATCCCTTCAGCGAAAATAAAGTATTTTACTGTAATGTGACAGTTAATTCAAATTAAATTGAAATTGTGTGAAATAGTTATTTTTTTGTTTTATTTTATAGGCCCAAAAGAGTGAACAGAACTGGAGCTGCATTGACTGCAGCAGGAAATGCACCTGGACTTGTTAAAATTACTGTCTGAAAATTACAATGCCTTTTTCTCAGTTTCAAATTGCAATTAATAATTTTTCTTTTTATATAAAATGACTGTTTCATTAAATGTAATATTATGGATATTTTGCATGCAATTTACAAACATACCCACAGTAAGTAAAAACTCTTTTGAAAACAAGATCTTTTTCTTGTGATATTTATTTTTAAAAAAATATTGAAACTAAAAAAATTAGTTGAATTTACAGTCACTGCCATGGTGTATATTCATCAGTGTATTATGACGTTTTACTCTACTGCAGTCACACACATATCACATTTATAACTCCCCTTGTTTTCATCTTGCCCCTTCCATAGATAAAGGGAATGGTATATGAGGGGGGAAATTTCTGATGTAAACTTTCTTTTGTGGTTGGAATAACCGAAACAGTTTTTATCAAATCTTCTTCAAACTTGGATATCTTATCGACAAGTTTGGGATCTCTGCCAAGTTTGAGTTCTATCTTTCTTCTAAATTTGTCAAAATATTGGTAAAAACATTACTTAAAATTGTCTTCTGCTTGTGGTTATAATAACTCAAATTATTTGTATCTGTATCTTCAAACTTAGTACATTTAATTAATACATTTCTCAATTCGTTATTTAATAGCGAGATACTCAATGGGCAAGGTTGTGTTTATTTCACCTCTTCCCTCTAATATTTGGTGTGGTTTGATATTTGATTTCAATCGGAATGCTTCTGTTCTCCACCTTTCACCAGTTTACCAACAAAAAATGCAGGGTACATGGTATTATGGCCACTTGCAGGTATCAAACCTGTACAAATAGTAAAATTTGTTTTTAAAAGTGTTACATAATTTTTCATCTGGACACGAGTCATCAATATTTATTCCAAAAAAATGCATAATTTAGGAATAATTGTATCCATAAGAAATAAACATTACTGTAAAAACTTTATTTATTACTGGTATTCACTATTTTGAACATTTTTACAGTTTTAAATTCACAAATTTTTTCACTTAATGAGTTTTTTTGTAAGTTTGGATTTAATTTTATGAGTAAAAATAACAAAATTTTAAAACCCAGTGAATAATTAATGTGTTTACAGTACTATAGTGACAATTTTGAGATGTGCTTACTATAGGAGCTAATAATGAATTGCTCAAAAACTGCCCTTTTCATGGATGTTTGCCCCATTTTTTGCACAAAGAAGTTCAGTGACATCCAGGATGTACATACTGAGTAAACTGAAACTACATTATAAATATAAATGTCTTGGCAATCCGACTACCATATTTGCTCTATTAGAAGTGCATACATTTATTTAAATGACCTGGTCCAATGGTTTACAGAAATGAATCTTTGTGAGCAAGGTGTACTTAAACCCCACAAAATCTAACATTTTGTCCTTACCAATGCCCATTGTGGATAAGTGCTTCTAATAGGGCAAATGCATTTATTTTAATGATAGTTGAAATAAAAACTGTTGCACAAAGTACACTTTATGACTGTTGAACAAATTCAAAATTACCTGACTAATGAGGTTGAAATTATAAATGTCTACAATATAGGATTCATTGGAACTGTACAGTGAAAGTTTACACTAAGTACAACGTTTTCTGAAATGAAGTAGTGTTTATAGGGAATGAAATCTCAAAATAAATGACGCGTCTTTTATCTTATACACTATCTAATGTCAAAGTGATCTTTGAAAACAAAAATGCTTTCTTTCAAAAATCACAACTGGCGCTGGTTACCATGATTTTGACATGTCAATTTATCCTTATTTTTTAAATAAAATTTGCAAGTACAGTTTTGACATGTAGTCTTTTATTTATTATGTGTAATTTGTGTCATAATTGTATCTAGCATTGTCATTGTGTATCTTTGCATCTGTGTGCACAAATTCATTGAGACTTGATACGTGATTGCTGTATGTGTAAATTAATATCTGATATAGCCTACAGGTAATAATTTCTGATTAATCTCCATATAATCAGATAATTTGCATACTAATTATCTGTTTTCAGATACTATACCTATACTCCTTGTTGTTTCATGATTGATAATTGTTTGGAATATGTATTATAATTAGCCAATTTTACACATTTCCATTAATATTTCAAGAAGCACTGAGCAGATACTTTGCAATACTCTACAAAACTGTTTAGTTATTGGAATTTGTGCATATTAATTGACTAACTTGCAAATGTTATTCAATATTTCAAAATAGTTTGAAGGTGACTGGATGAAATTGTATTCTGGCTAATTTTGTTATCCTGAATTGTTTAAAAAAATTTGGGTTTTAAAAAAAGTGTTGTTCAGGGGTTTATTTTAATAATATTTGGCTTTTTTTTTTAAATATGTTTCTCAACTACTGTAGAATACTTATTTTCGCTTGGAATTTATTTTAGCTATTTTCGCTGAAGGGATGATTCCGTGAAAATAAAATCCAGCGAATATACTTTTTTTCCTATATTTCACATTCAACTCATCAAAAATCAGTGAAAATAAATTCCATAAAAAGCCTTTTCAGCGAAAATAAAGTTTTCCACAGTAATCAGAATGCTTTATTGCAGAACTTTATATTAATTAAATGTCTTGGTTCTGAGTCTGACTTGTTTCCTGTGTCTGTGCTCATAAATTGCCATAGGAATTTTATATAGATCATTTTACATCATATATGAAACACTGACCAAGTTTTGCTGTGCTATTGGAAGAAACCACAATAGCTGAGTTCAAACACTGAGCTCATACAACAGGTGACACACTTGCTGCCCATTTATCTATTTGAACATAATATTAATATTGGTCATTGACTTTTGAGCTGTATGATATTTCAAGGTCACAGTAGGTCATGAATATTCATAAGTTGAACATTATACTTCTCTTGCATATTTGGTTCATTGTCCGCAATTCCAGTATAGAAATTTTATGAAAACAAGGTCTGTAAGGTATCGGCATTCGCACATTATTACGTTCTAGGAATGTTATCGCATATTCTATTTAAAAATAGGGGTATGTTCCCCTTTCCCAGCAGAATTGTTGACAGAACTTAAAAAATGCCTTAAAAGCTATGAGAATTTTCTCCAAAACAAATATTTATTGATAGTTTCTTTGCGGTGGTGGGTTTTAAGTTTAACCCTTGTACCAGGACCTCATTCATTCAAATGATAATGATTTGTGTCAAAAATTATTAGTCAGCTTTTATCTTAAGGATTGGTGCGACCTCTATCTCTTAGATATTAGATATCTTAAATTATTAGTCAGCTTTTATCTTAAGGATTGGTGCGACCTCTATCTATCAGAGTACAGAATTTGGAAATTAGACTGAGAAACTAAATCGCACAACAGTCTGACAATGGTCGGTCATGGAAGTGATATAAAAGAAAAATCAATAGTTGGTCACCAGAGGGCGTACTTCTAGATTTGACTGCAGTGTGTGACCACTTAATTTTTCTGCTGTAAAATTAAATACTAAGTATTATTGATCACTCCCAAGTATATCAAGTTTGATTAAAGTCTTACTATTGAAATAAATTAATTTAAGTATTCATTATCAAATCATTCATATGGGATACTATAGCATGCAGTTTGTATCAGCTCTATCGAAATAATTTCGTCTGTGGCAGGCTCCTAATTGTATTATTATAACATATAGAAATAATAATTCCAACCATTTTTAGCTCCGCTGTCATCGAAGATGACCGAGCGGTGCACATGTGTTAACTGCGCCTGTCTTCTGTCCGTCATACGTCTTCTATTTATAGCACAGCTACCTGGTTCTCTGTAAGATTTGTTCATTTCATGACATCACATCTGAATCTCTATTTTTAAAGAATATCTTTTTTTCAACAACTGCTTGTCAAATTGCATTTAAATATAAGCATTAATGTTCTTGACATAAACTAGACTCTAACTTACTAATTTCGTGAGACTATATAAAGTGTCTATTTTTAGTGAATAATTTTGGAGTTTTGCTCATTTTTGCGACCTTTTCCCCAAAACAGACTGTCAGATTGCTTTTTGATTCGTACTTCATTTGGTGAAGATATCTCTATTTTTTCCCACTTTCCCATACATTATATATGGGTTATGTATAATACATGGACTGTAATAGACAAGTGTATTGTTGGGTTCTGAACTACCAGGGCCAATGTTTTTGAAAAAAATGAATTTCAGGTGAAGGTCATTTCAATTTTCATATGTTTGCTAGTATTAGACAACTATGTTCCCCCTCCCGATCTTCACAATCCGATCTTCTTTACAAGGTCACATATTGCACGTCAGAAAGACCCCCTCCCGCACCAATCATTAATGTCACACCAAGCACAGTCCCTCTATGATAGAGGGACTGTACACCAAGGGTATTTCAAGGTAGCGACCTTATGGCCGAAAGAGCTCTGCTGTAATTGTTAACTGTGAGTTGAAAACGTAGAGAGGAATGATGTACCATCTGGAGGCCGGTATTTATAGAAACATGTACTACGTTGACTGTGAGAAGGCTTTTGACAGAATTTGCCGTAATGCAATGTTTTATAAACTATGTGAAAAATATTAAATTGAAAATCATTATAAGCAATACTAATACTAAAATTATCGCATTTAGGGGTTTGGGGTTTTAATGATAGACCTGGCATTAACAAAGTTCATTCGCCGTCTTTTGTAAATATATATAACTTGTATTATTGCAGTATTGGAGGAACTAGGAAGACTTTTATTGAGAATCCTTGGACTATCTCGTATTGTTAAATATAAGTTGAAACAATTGAGAAGTGTGTCTCTGCCCCGTATATCGTTGCTGCCTGTTTGTTCTTAGACTAGTTAGTCTGAGGTTTGTTATACTACCCTCGACAGCATCTCTTATACAATACACAGAGACAAGAACTGAAAATCCAGTTTTTCGCAACCACCACTGCTCTAACTATGATCGATTATAGACTTTGCAGGTCTCAATCATCAGCATTTCGCCACCGTGACACGTATTCCATGCCAAGTACGAATCGTTATCAATCCATTGCCATCATGTTATGCAAGTTTGTATTTACAATGCAAGATTATTTTAAGAAAAGTTACCCCCTCGGCAGCGTGTTCTGTAATAAAGAAGACTACATCCAAATTGACACGAAATAAATAGAGGAAAAAATGCGCAAGACGTGGAAAATCACAAAGTGGGTATTAGTTGGAGAAAATACTTAATTATTGGATATTTTGCATATTCTGAGACTCTATACATTATCAATGAGTAATGACATGTGTCTAAATACTGTGAAATAATTTATTTTCACTGGAATTAATTTTCGCTG